GCTCCGGTCCCCCCAGCCCCGCTCCGGTCCCCCCGGTCCCCGAGCCCCGCTCCGGTCCCCCAGCCCCGCTCCGGTCCCCCCAGCCCTTCGCGCCCCGCTCCAGTCCCCTCAGCTCCCTCTCAGCCCCTGCCCACTACTGCTACAGGGTGCTCAGAGCAGCTGTGGCTACCGCATCCCTGGAAGTGTCCAAGGCCAAGCTGGACGGGGCTTGGAGCACCCTGAAAGGTGGAAGGTGGCAGGCGGCAGAACAACATGAGCAGATGGAGAGTCCTGGCTCAGGGCACCAGCAGGGCAGTGAAGACCTCATTAAAAGACCAGCATCGGTGTCTGCTTTGGGATCAGGGACTGGATGGCCCATCCACAATGTCCAACTTGCTCTGCCAAGAAGTAACCATTTCTCTGTGTGTTGAACTCCAGCTTCAGTTTGGTTTGTGTCATCTCACAAACATCAGACTGGGGTGCACTTTTGCCCGCTGATACAAGAGCCTCCTTCTGCTCTGTTCCCACTTTCCTCTTGCATCTGATGTGTGACCAGACTACCCCTTGCTCTGCTCTAAACCTCTCACAGAATACCACTTGAGCTGTGCACTGCCCATGGCTCCTTCTGGAGCTTTTCCTAGAGCTCCATGGTCCCCTTGCACCATGAGCACTGGTAGCACACAGGTTCCCACTGCCACAAAGGGCCATGCCACCGCTGCAGCTGGACATTTGGCTGCGTGAGTAGCCACCAGTGTGTCCCACACACTACTGGGATATGCCAGTGCAGCAGCTGCTGCATGAGCTGCTTGTGCATTTATGTAAGTACAAACAAGACCTTAAGTCATCTCTTCTTTGGCTCATCTGTGTGAAACAAGGATCACAGCACTTGTTTTACAGAGGAGCCCTGCAGTTTGGTTCATGAATATCAAGTGGTTTGAGCTCCTGTGATGGAAGGTACTGGAGAGAGACAAAGGGGCACCAATGGCGTAAAGCTGCTTGAGGCCCAAGCAGTGGTCTCACCCAGTTGCACTGTGTTTGCTAATCCAAGTGTGTAATCAGCACATATGGGCAATGTGTTGGCTTGGGCTGTGTCACACACAGCACCTCAGAACACTCTCAGTGTGAGCTCATGCTCCCCAATAGGGGTGACTGGTGTCTGCACAGCCACCAAGGATGGGCGATGTGCAGGGAAAGACGGAGCTGGCAGTGCAGTAGCATGATGACGAGATAGATGTCATCGACACATAGTCATGGCACAGAGCACATGCAAACCTCCTTCCACCCTAGCCAGTCTGCCCACCAGCTCTCCTGAATGAAGTCCCAGCTTTGTTTTCTGATTTCCATTTTGTATCCTAAAATATTCACTCCAAGTTCCGCTTGACAGACATGCCTAATCTAATCTCCATGTCTGCTTTCTAATTTTCGCAGCCAGGATAAAACAAATTGGCTGGCGTTAATTGCCTGTGCAGCGGCCTGGAGCTCTGAGCCGTGATTTACGAGCTTGGAGCAGGCGCTCTGCAACACATTTTTCTTAATTTATTTTTAATGAGTCTCTCAATTAATTTTCTTGGAAACATCTTAATGATGTTGGAGGCGGATGTTAATGAGGTTTGTAGCAGCACCTCATTTTGCATATTTTAACGTACTGAATGGCATGAAGCAAACTCTTCATCCTAAAACAGAAAAAACCTTAAGATTGGAGAGGACTCCTGGGCTGACATTACTGCCCTGGCTTGAGGCTGAGGCACCGCGTGGGCTAGTTGGTGACTTTGAACATTGTGAGGCTGAAGCTGGTTGAGCCCACAGGGATGGCAGGACCCTGGCAGCATGGGGGGAGGTGAGGGGCCATGCTGGGTCATGGTTGGTGGTCAGACACTTCTTAACAGATAGAGTGAAAGCCTAGATAAAGAACCTGGGCACTAATACCCCTGTGCTGGCATGTCCCATGTTGTGGGCACCCCATTCCCTGCACACCCCCAGACAGACCTTTTGTGCAGGAACTCTCCAAGACACAGGACTAGGCTGCCTGGGGCTGATGACGGTGGGGTGCTCTGGGGTGTCTCTGCTGGCCCGCAGGGTCACCGGTAATTGCTGATGCATGTGCCAGCAAGAGGCAGCAGCTGGATTGCCTTTGTTTTCTCCCAGCATGTCAGTCTTCATTAAACTGGAGGGGAATGAAAAAGGATTCACTTTTGTCCTAGCCTGAACATGGCAGCTGTTTAATTTCAATTAAGGTGGCACTGAAAAGAGTAGCATTACGGCAGTAATTAAAGTGAGACAGCTCCCACCCCCAGGACTGTGCTCACACAGCAGAGGGACCAGTTTTGATCCCTGTCCTCCTAGCACCAGCTGAGTATGGGCAGGCAGCTCTGGGTCACAGCTGTGGGGCTGCCCCACACACTCACAAGGAGCTGGAGCAGCATTGAACCCTTCAAGGTAAGCACTGCCATCAGCTCAGCACGGTGTGGCACATCTGTGGTACAGAGCAGCATTGCCTGTGGCACCATGCAACATGGCATGGCACAGCACATGTGGCAATGAGGCTTTGTCCCATAAAGGCTCTGTGCACTGTGGATACTTCGTGCCCTGGCTGTGGCTGCCTGCGTAAGACTGAAGTCTGCAGGGAAATTTTATTTTCTTGCAGTGGCAGAAACTGTGGCCAAATTCAGTTGTATTCTGGAAGCAAGGGGTTCA